ACGAGCCGTCCGATGATAATCTGGTGAGGTTGCTGAACGTAGTGTACGGTCATCATTCGTTTCGCGGCGGGCAGATGGAGGCGATCAAGATGGTTCTCTCGGGGAGATCGACGGTGCTGGTTTTACCCACGGGTGCGGGGAAGTCGCTGTGCTATCAGATTCCAGCCATGATTTTGCCGGGGATCACGCTGGTTGTCAGCCCTCTGTTGGCGTTAATGATCGACCAGTTGAAGCAGCTCCCTGCTGTGATTCCTGGCGGCCTTTTGAGCAGCAGCCAGGTAGAGGATTGATGATGCCCTCTTTCGTGGTTTATCTCAGCTTATTTTCACATTCTGATGATATTCTTAAAAGGCTGTTTTGTTTCGCTGTGTTAGAAACCCGAAGAGGTTGCTGAGACACTGAGGCAGGTTCATGAGGGGACCATAAAGGTGGTGACTAAATCCATAACCTTTTCCTGTTAATATTCCATTCAAGTTTCCATTTTAATTTCTTACTAGCTTAGAATTTTTTATTGTTTTTTTTTTGGGCCTAGTAACTATCCTAAGTTTGGATTTGGTTTACAAGATTTATGGGCGCTAGAAGCTAAGGTTCTGGAATTCATATATTCCAGGTGCTTTTTGTATCACCAGAAAGGTTCTTGAATAAGGACTTTTTGTCACTTTTTTCTGTTACTTCCCTTCTATCTCTCGTTGTAGTGGACGAGGCTCATTGTATATCGGAATGGTGAGTTGAATTTCATCTCTTACACCTCCTTGGTGTTTGTTTTGCAGTCTATTGCATGTTATTCTCGCTAACCTCCCGCAGAATTTGAATATTTTAACAGGTCCCATAACTTCCGACCTTCATACACGAGGATAAGGGCATCTTTGATTCGTGCCAAGCTTAATGCTGAATCCATTCTTCCAATGACTGCTACTGCAACAGCTCCAACATTCCAGGCTGTAATGTCTGCTCTAGAGATTCCTTCAAGCAATCTCATTCAGGAAACCCAACTGAGGAACAACTTACAGTTGTCAGTCTCTTTAAGTGGAAACAGGCATGAATAATGAATTCTTTCTGTTTTTCTTCTTTGTTTTCCTATTGCTTTCATGTCTTTGCAAGAGTGTGATTAAGTCATATGTTGAATTTAATAGAATGAAAGATCTGCTGATGTTGATAAAGTCTTGTCCCTTTAATGAAGTTCAAAGCATCATCATATATTGCAAATTTCAGGTAAATGTGTTTATCTTATGATCCGAAGGGTTGTTACTTGGACTCTTTTTTGTTTAAAAACGTTGTACAGCCCTGATTAGCTAGCTAGTCGTATTGTAATTGTTTGCCATGTCACTCTTGGCCAGGAGCCGTTTGTTTTTGGATTATTTCATTATTCATTCTCGAATTGGTTGGTAACGAGGTAGTTGCATGTTCCTATGCAGTATGAAACTGACATGATAAGCAGATAAGTGTGTGATAGCAATATTTATGCAAAGAATTGGATTACATGTTTCAGCAAATAAATAAAGAAAATGTAAATTCGAAATTCATTTTAAAATTGAAAATCCAAAGTTGTTAGAAGGATAGACTGCGCAGGGATCCCACAAAG